AGAACCAGATGCAGTCCAAGGGAGGCTATGGAGGTGGCATGTCTGCAAATGTTCAGATGCAGCTTGTAGATACAAAGGCAGGATAACCTTGGAGATGCCTTTCCAAACCTTGGGGATACCTTTCCAGTAAGTCTTACACTCTGCCTTTTAGGCGCTGTTAGGGTAGCAGGAAGAATGATCATAGTATTTCATAATTAACTCCCTATAAATAGCTATGTCTTTATGATGCCTGATTTAAAATGCGTTTCCGAATAAAAAATTCAGTATCATGTAAGCATGTTAATTTGTTTTACACAATGAACAAGAGGTTGTGCTGACTGCGTCAGTCTGTCCGTAAGCCTGTTTTATAGCTAAGATGATATTGTAGGCAAATCTTTGCAAGTGAAGTTAGTTGTATAACAAATTTCAGAAGAATTTGATTATATGATTAGGGTGCCATTTTTGCAACAGTTCATCCATTTAAGCATAATATAAATGGTGTTAAATCAATGAATAGCAGTGTTACAGTAGGAAAATGATCACTCAGAATGTTGAAAGCTCAGTTTAATGTGTGTTTTCTGTCTTCCAGGTTTATGTGAATTCCTCTGTCTTCTTTCCTGTGTGCTCTCTTTTGCCTTGGTGACTGCTTTCTGTGCTCATGACGAGAGAAGTGATGGCTCATTGTTCACCCTTTGTGATCACTCCAGTGAAAAGTTGCTGTTCTGCTGTGATGGTGCCATTTATCAGATTGATCCGACCGTGCCTTTCAGTGGCATGCGTACATCGGCCTCTCCCAGTATCACGGACATAGAGCTGTTTAGGATTGGTTTTAGCTTTTTTTTCCGTTTTAAATCACCAACCTTAGCCTCCCTCATCCCTCACAAATAGTAATGCACAACATTCTGTTGCTTTTTAGCCTTTAAATCTTTTCTTCACTCAAGTAATTTAAAAATGAGTGAGTTTCCATTAATGTCTTCAATCATCCATTGTTCATACTCTTTTTTGAAAGGTCTAGGACCTGCAAGCACAAACGATTATTTCATACAAAATCAGCAGAGTAGATGACCGCATGCTTTGTGAGGTTGCTTTGTATGGTGGCCTTCTTGGTGCTAGAAGAAAAAAAAAAAAATTGCTTACTGCAGACTGGTGAAAAATTTTGCTGTGGCACCAAGTCATGCCTGTTTCCGAAAAAGGACTTGTAACTTAGCTGCTTCAGAGTTATGTCTTTATTTTAGTTTTTATCCAACTGGTCTTGAAATAATAAAGAGAGAGCTTGCATTCATGAGGCATTTGTTGTAAATGTTTAGTATATTTATTTTGAAAGAGCTGACCTTGAGACTGTAAACCAGTGTAGTACCGTATCTAAGTGTTGTGAAAGCGCTTTAGTCTATTTAAAAAAGAAAAGCGTCATGTTTGGCCGCTTCTTTTTCTTTCTGCAGTTTTTCTTAATTTTAGGCTGTATGGTCATTTCCAGTAGCAGCATGTCAGACTGCCTGCAATATTAGCTGAAAAGTTTAGTAGACCTCTCTAAGTAGTTGGCAGTTTCTGTGTACTAAATATTTAGGGGCCATGGAAGTTGCTAAGAGCAACATAGTAATCTGGCAGAACAGATGCCAATGAAAACAACGTACAGGGTGACTTTTTACTAAGTCAGTAAAAACGCCTTTTGCTCAGGTTCCAAAGCATGTTTCTTTCACACGTTGTGAAATTGTATTTTAATATTGCACTGTTTTCAGATTATCTCTGTAAATGGTCCCTTTTTTCCCTCCTTGGTGGTGGTTTGAGAGAAGTCAATGATTTGAGTCCTGGTTGAGTTAAATTTTAATGTTAAAAAAACCCATCCAAACAAATAAGACATAATTAAGCCTGGTCAGATCCATTTTTATGTGTAAACATGCATGTGTTCATAAATATAGGTCGCTGTCATAAATGATTCTTTATTCTTTTTCCATCCTTTCCCTGATTTCACATTGCAACAGCTGTCAGGTTGATTTAAACATGCATGAACCTACCTAGTCTTCTCTCTGTTTGCAAACAACACACAAAATACATGGAGGTAGTTTGCCTTGCCTAACTTGTATTCCAGTGGTAGGTGTCACTTATCTGATTAAATAGTTTGAATTAGGTTGGATAGTCTTCACTGATGAAGGTAATGATTTGTGATCAACAGAAGATCAAGATGTTCAGTTGTCTGGGTGCATAAACACATGGCAGTGCAGTGATATTTTATTTTTTTTAGGGGTCAACATTTCCAATGCCACTTTGTCAATGAGTCTTAAGTATACTATGATTACAAAATTATTTGAACTTCGTCATTGGTAATAGTGGCTTAAATTTGCTTGCCAAACCTATCTTGCACTTGTCAAAATGTTTTAAGCTCAGTAGCCAGGGGAAAAAAAATTGACATATTTTTATAACAGACATACTTTTTTTGTACATTTGTGTTCATTCTTGAATAAAGTCAGTTCAGTGTTGGCTTGTAGATATTAAAAGGAAAGTATTGACTTAGATTCAATAAATGTTTTCTTTCAGCTGGTGGCCTACACTTTTTCTTTTTCACAAGTCACATTTGCATTAGAGAAACACTTGCAGCCTACGGACAAATTTGTGGTGAAAATTCTCTGAAGAGTAACCTATTAGTGTCAATAAGTAGTTTGCAGGCTTGAGTTTTTTCATGCCACTTGACCTTTTTGTTGCCAAATGGATTAAACCGTAATTTTATTGGCAGCTTTGTTGCATTGATTTAGAGTGTATACCAGGGGCTTCTGCAAGGATTTTCAAGGAAGGTTTCTTAAAAACACATTGGAAACTTTCCTATACAGGATTTCTTTCTTTTTCACTGCAATTGGTATGTGTGTTACTTTTTCAATTGTGATGCAGATTACTGTTGTAATCAGTGGAAGAATTAATTGTACATCTAATCATCATAATATACACATCTGCATTAAATATACCTGCAAGGCACAATATTTTTACTCTGTAGTTGGCTCAATTAATTTTTGTATTTGACACTCTCAAAGTTAATTCCTTAAGCACTAATTTACTACTTCAAACTTCATGCTAAATTGCTTTAAAGACTGATAATGAATTCTGTAGCTTATAGCAATTTCTTGAAATTTCCAGTTGAAGAAAAAAGATCAAGAAAGAAAGATCAAGATAAAGCCATGAGATATCAATCAACTAGAAGGTTCTTTTCTTTAATTGCTGAGGTTATGGAAGCTTAGTACTGTTTACAAAGGTGTGTCTTGAAGAGCAGATGTTTTAATGTAGGCATCTATAAAAGTAAAAGCGTTTGACCTCTTAAAGAAGGACCCAGCCTGTTTACACTTGGTCTTTAGTCTGTTAAGCTGCCTAAAGCAGTTGTATGAGTCAATTCATTCATTTTGTGCCTTTTTTAATTTTTAACTGAGAAGGTGGTGCATTAGCAAGCAAGTCTCTGAACACAGTCTTGGTCCCAAGTGGCACTGCACTCTGCCATGATTTGATATACCAAAAAACCCCACCTTTCAGATCCAGAAAAATTAAGTTGCTAAGAAATTCTGCCCTGTCTACATAATGACACATTCTTATCAAGTACAGTAGCTATTTCATCACAACACAATTATTCTGATTCCTTGTCTGGTATTTTTTTTTTTTTTTGGCTGGAGTTGAGGGGATAGTCAATTAAACACAATATTGATTTTCAAAGTCTAATTTTTAAAGCTATTCCTGTTTTGTGTGTATGCATGTGAATAGGGCCCCTTCCTAGAGAAAGGAAAGTGATTTTTGAGCTTCATAAGGGTTCCATAGATCTTCAACACTTTATTGTATTTCCTGATCTCCATCTTCTATGAAGACCTCTATGCGTGCCACTCAAAAGATTTCATGAATTGACTGTATTTTTTCTACATATATGCCTTAGAAAAATAAAAAAGTACTATGTCCCCTTCTGAAACTAGTAGGAAGCAGTATAGGATTTACCAAAGAAAGTTTATTACATTTTTATATTTGTGAAAACAGTTTGATGGAAGAGGCCTGGGTAGTACACGTTCACACAGATCAAAAGCTTTTGGTAAGGATTTCACAGTGATTGTGATCCTGGATTTTGCAGTTGGGGAATATTGCATTTATTTGAATGTCAACAGTAAAATTGCTATTCCTTATTCTATATCTCTTTTTCTGTTATCACAGCTAATCACAGCAGACTATGCACAATTATGCATATTATTGTTATTATATTATGCACTATATACTCTTTAACATTTTCTTATTCCCTAAAAATATCTGTTAACATGACAGAATGATGAAACGTGGACTGAATTGCAGATATAGTGGTACAATGCAATCCCAGGAGCGCAAACAGTTACATCAAGACACAAACACTTCCAGAGTAAAAGACATTATAGGCTCAGTATTTGGGATGAGAGTTTGAGGCTTCCTTTGTATTAAGTCTTAAAACCATGCTAGTTTCAGCCACAACCTCCCTATAAATTATCCTACTAATGGTAAGAAGATATAAAAGTGATAATTAGCACAGCACTACCTTATTTCTGAAGAAGTTCAGCTGACTGAGACTGGTGGCACATGCAACATGTGCCATTGTGAATCTAAGAGGGAATTTTCAAGCAGTGAGCAAGATTCTCCAGAATGAGACTGAATGAAAATTAAAAGTTTATTTCCTGCTGGCAAAAATCTGTGCATCGAAGTAGCAATAGGTAAATTTTAGATAGTTCTTTCAGTGTTTGCTATTAGGCGACTAGGAGGAATCTCTGTGCTTAGAGGCAGTAAGCCAACATAACTGGAAGTTGGTGTGAATTTGAGCAAATAACGTTAAGTGCAAGCCACATTTCTTGCATCATCACTGTGACTGTATAGCTCTGGCTAGATTCCTTGAAAATCAACGAAGTGCATGACCAGACGAAACACAGTAAAACATCCTTCTCACTCTTGATAGATGTCCTACCTTATGCATTATTGGCAGATATTTAAACAGTAATTTGCTGAGCATGTTTTAAAGGTTTATGTAATGGAGAAGAGTTGCATGTGCGCTTCTTCAGTATTTCAGAAGAAGAAAACCCATTTGCTTTCACTGTGTTCATGGCAGGAACCAAAGTGCTCATCACTTAAC